AAGGAGAGATTGTGGAAGGTGGGTCTCTGGGATAACTTTTTGTGCATTTTGTAGTTTCTCGCATTCTGTGCTGTCTTTAAGGGGCAGAACAAGAATCCAGGACCAGAGTTAGGGGTATTGACCTTTTAAATTCAGACATGTGGGCATTGTTCTAATAGTGTATTTTTTTTCAATGAGGCTGCTGCCTGACAGCGAGGCTGGAAGGCTCTTACCTTTCTGTGGGTGTCATCTAACTGTGAATTTTTCCTGTTCTTCATGTTAATTAGAATAAAGGCTTATCCACTGATTGGTAACTCTATGGACAGCACTCTAGGAAAATCCTGGAAAATGGAGACCCGGATGGGAAGGGTCTAGAGGCTACACTAAGGCTATGAGGTGGGTATCGAGGATGAGAGAATCAGATTTATAGCTGGAAGGGACTCCCTCATGTTATAGCAGAGGAAATTGAGGCCTAGAAATGGTTAAATGACTTGGCCAAGGTCACACAAAAGGTGGTAGAGCCAGAATTAAAAGCCATGTCTTCTGACTCCAACTCCAGGGCTTTATTTCCTGCGCTGATAATTTAAAAAGCTAACGCTGCATTTCTTAGGTTTCTAGGTATCAGGAGGGGCTTCTAGGTGGCTCAGTGCATAAGGACACCTGGTCTGGAGTCAGGAAGACCTGAGTTCAAATCTAGCCTCAGACACTTACTAGCTGTGTGATCCTGGGCAAGTCCCTTAATCCTATTTGCCTCAGTTTCCTCATCTGTAAAATGAGCTGGAGAAGGAAATGGCAAAACACTTTAGTATCTCTGCCAAGAAAACCCCAAATGGGGTCACAAAGAGTCGGACATGACTAAAACAAGTGAACCACAAAAGGTATCAGGACTATTGTCTGATCCTGGATTCCCTCCAGCAATCCCAACATCAGGAAAAGTGAGAATCCATTCCTCTCTGGTACCTGCTTCTGTCCTTACTCAATGATAATTTTGCTCTTTTCCTGTCTTCTGACTTCTTACTCCCCAACACACATTCTTTGATCCAATGGTGCTGGCCTCCTGGCTGTTCCACAAACAAGAGTCTCCATATGTTGGCTTGGAGCATTTTCTCTCACTCTTCCCCATGCCTGGAATACTTTCCCTCCTCCTCTGACAACTGACCTCCCTGAGTTCCTGTAAGTCTCAACTAAAATCTCGCCTCCTATAGAAAGCCCTAACCCCTCTTAATTCCAGTGCCTTCCCTCTGTTAATTATTTCCTTTTTTACTATATATGGCTTGCTTTGTATAGATTTGTTTGCATGTTGTCTCTCGTTAGATTGTAAGCTCCTTGAGGTCAGGGACTGTCTCTTGCCTATTTTTGTATCTTCAATGATTCCCACAGTGTCTGGCACATAATAGGCATTTAATAGATAGCTATTGGGATAAGGTTTATCACAGTGCCACTTCATAAGTATTTATTGAGTTGAATTACTAAACAGAATCTTTGTGGGACAGTGCTTAGCATAGTGCCTGGCATATAGTAGGTGCTTAATAAATGTTTACTGATTGACAGGCAGTGGAAAGAATGCTTCACTTGGAGCCACAGAACCTAAATTCAAATTCTGGCTCTGCCACTTACTCTGTGATCTTAGACAAGTCATTTAACTTTCCTGAGCCTCATTTTCCTTATCTGTAAAATGAGGGGGTTGACCTGGATGACCTTGGGGGTCCCTTCAGCTTTAGATCTACGATCCTATGAGTTCAGTTTTCTTTCTATGACGTTGCATCATTTAAATTATTGAGTGAATAAATAGAACACTTCCCCCTCCCCCACTTCCCAGTTGCTTGTCTGAAAATCAAACTGTTTTTGAAACAGCTGGGAGAGCCCCATGACGGTAATCTCTTGGTGGATGAAGCAGGGCAGAGGCATGAGGATCACATATACGCCCTCTAATCCTGCTGCATGTTTTCAAAAATTATTATGTGAGCCCTGAAAAGAGGCCTCTTGATTGGACACAAGGAGGTGACTCAGACTTCAGGCAGTGCTGAGGCTGGGGCTTCCTTAGTAAACACCTGACACCTCCCTTTCCTTCATTTCCCCCCCTTCCCCAATGGCCTCTTCCTTGGATGCCAGCTGCACCACAGAACCAGCTGGCCACTAGGTTGTTATAACACAGACCCTGCAGCCATTTATGCCAGCAGGGTTCTTTATAGTGCTTCTCTTTTGTTCTCTTAAGCCACTTCTCTGCTTCAAGGGCAGGTGAAGAGCGGGGTTATAAGCACAAAACAGGGTGATTTGAATCAGAAAGCTGAGTTATATTAAGGAAAAATGGGAGGCAGTGTGGTGCAGTGGATAGAGATCTTGCCACTAAGTCAGGAAGACTTGAGTTTGAGTTCCCCCTCTGACACATTTTTGCTGGTTGTTTGACCCTGAGCAAATAATTTAACCAATCAACAAATGTTTATTGAATGCTTGCTGTGTGCCAAACTCTGTGCTAAGGACTGGGGACACAAATAAAGGCCAAAAAAAGTCCCTTCCATCAAAGAGCTCACATTCTAATGAGGGTGCATCATGCAAATAACTATGTACATATAAAAAATATGCAGCATGAATGGGAGGTAATCTCAGAGGGCAGGTGATACCAGTAGAGAAGGATAGGAAAGATTTCTTGAAGAAGGTAGCATTTTAGCTAAGTCTTGAAGGAAGCCAGGGAAGCCAGGAGTTGGTATGGGGGACAGCCAGTGAAAATGTCAGGAGCTGAGAGATGGAATATTTTGTTTGAGGAAACTGAAGGAGGCTAGGGTCCCTGGATCAACAGAGTATGTAGAGGAGAGTGAAGTGTGAGAACATTGGAAAGGTAGCCAGGGGCCAAGTGAAGCAGAGCTTTAAATTATTTGATCCTGGAGATATTAGGGAACCATTGTAGTTTATTGAGGGGAGGAGGTGGTGACATGGGCAGACTTGGGGTCTTGCTTTGGGAAAATCACTTTGGCAGCTGAGTGGAGGATAGATTGAAGTGGAGAGAGATTTGAAGGAGGGAGCCCAACCAGCAAGTGATAAGGACTCGTACTAAGAGTGTGGCTATTTGAGTGGAGAGAAGGCACGGATAAGATCAATGTCATGAAGGGAAAAATAAGATTGGATATTTGGAGTCAGTGTGTGTGAAGTTGGGGTTGACATGGGGTTGACAATCCAAACCTGAGTGACTAACTATAATGATAATGGTGTCCTCTGCGGTAAATGAGAAGTTCTGAAGGGGGAACATTTTGGGGAAAAGAATAAGTTATATTATGTACATGTTTGAGTTTGAGATGCCACAGGACATTTATTTTGAGATGACGAAAATAGTAGCTCAGGAGAAACAATTGTCTTAGATATGTAGATTTGGGAATCATCTGTATAGAGGTAATAATTGATGAGAAATGTATGATAAAGTGCTTAGTACAGTGTCTGGCACATAGTAGGTATGATATAAATCTGTCTTTCCTTCCCATGGGAGCTGATGAGATCACCAAGTGAGATAGTATAAAGTGAAAAGGAAAGTGAGCCTAGGACAGAACCTTTGAGTTAGTAGGGGCAAACATGTATGACTAAATTGGAGAGCAGTAGTTGATTTGCACTGAGAGAGGTAATTTCCTCCTGGGAATTTCCAGTACCAACAAAATCATGGGTCATGGGATCATAGATTGAAGGCTGGAAGGTATTTTAGAGACTGTTGATTTCAATCCCTTCATTTTACAAATGAGGTAACTGAGCCACAGAGGGGTTATATGGCTTAGTCAAGGTCATATAGCTAGGAAGTATCTGAGGTGTGATTTGAATCCAGGCCTTCCTGAGTCCAAGTCCAGTGCCCTATTCACTTTGCCTTTCTAGCTCTCCTGCTCCAGTCCAAGAAAATAAAGGGAAGAAATATAGGTGGCCAGGCTGGATTTTGGCACTGACAGCCTGTGCTCCTGGATAGACCGGAGGGAATAGTCTGGCTTCTGCTCTGGGGAAGGCAGTTGGTGCCTTTGCCTTGAACTGATCCAAAGAGCAAGAAGTCTAAGAGGGTTGAAAGCATCAGCTCATTATTGTGTATATAAGGGTTTAAAGAAGCTTTCAGGGAAAGGCTCTCAAAGACCAGAGAGAGCTGGCATGAGAGCATCAGGGTAGGGAGGGGGGCTTACTGTGGAAATCACGGAACTGTTGAGCTACTCAGATCCCGGTGGAGAAGAGAAGTCCGGCAGACCTGTGCAGCTGTAATGAAGGCAGGAACGGGGGCAGACTGGTATAGCGTGGGGGCAGTAGCAGCAGGGCTCACTGTGGCCCACTTTCTGCCTGGTTCTCTCTGACTTTCAGTTCATTGGGCAATAAGGAGCCCACACCTCCCTTACAGTGTGGAGCAAGAGGAGAGATGAGTTCAGTGTCTCTGAGTTCCCTTTTTGAAAGGGAAGCCACACCACCCCCAGTGCCTCTGAGGGAGGTGCCCCAGTCATTAACCATCGCTGTGGTCCGGGATTTACTGGCAGCAGGGTTGAGGGGTGGGGGACAGAGGACTCAGTTTTATAAGACCCAAACTCTTGAATATGTTGGACAGATTCTTCTAGATTCCCCCTCCTCCCACCATCTGTGATTCAGGCTCTGTATTTAAGCCTGAAGAATCCAGTGTTAAATCAGTGGAGAAAACTGAGCTGTTGTCTGTTCTGTGCTTTCATAAGCTTCCAGGAGGTGTTTAGGCCTTAGAGACACTCGGGCACTTTTAGTCCCTCAGGCTTGGTAGGCACATTTTATTATGGGGTTGGCTGGACTGAGACATTACTAACGTGCTTTATTTGAGGCCAGTGACAAGGGGGAGGGTGTGGGTGCGGTGCGGTGGGGTGGTACTGGGAATAAAAAAAAGAAGTCGGGAGAGTGAGTGGTTGGGGAAGTTTTCTCCCTGGTCGCAGCATCCTAGAGGAGCTGAGGAACCCTGCAAATATTTCATTCGAATTAAATTGGAGAATTTCCAGACAGGACTCTTCCTGCCGTCGCTCATTCTTACACAAATACACAAAGCAGGGGCCTCCCCCTGAACCAGTCCAATAGGGTGCTTTTGCCTACCCACCGGGCTCTGTGTTCTGGCGTCCTCTCTCCCAGGGTCTGCTCCGTTCTGCCTTGCTCAGGCTCAGCTTCCCTCTGGTCTTCTGGCTAGCAGCAGTGGGACACAGGAGCAGATCTCTCTGGGCTGCTTTGCTGGGATTGATTGGTCATGGATTCCTGGCCACCAGGCAGCACTCACTCTTCAGGTTGGTTCAATTTAGTTACAATATTGGATGGGTAGGGAGGATTTCAAAAATAATGTACTCAAAGAATAGGAGCGTGTATGAAGAGTGCCATGTAATTGTCTGCTACTGGGGTCAGAGACTTTTGCCAAGAGGTCATTGGGATTGAAAGTTTGCTCCTTCCTAGGATGGGGTACCTTAGAGATCATAGCTTTGTGGCAGCTTGGCTAGGGATCTAGCCCCCTCATTTTACAAGGAAATTGATTTGCCCTAAGAGTCACACAGGCAGATTTCTAACCCAGATCCTCTTGACCCAGACTCTTAATTTTCTTTGTAATAGACTGAGCTGCCACACTGTAGTTTAAAATGAGGAAGTGAAAGAAATGAGGTTCATTCTAGGTCTTTTCTCAGGGGCATTGACTCCCAAAGACTGGCCTGTGTCATATGTAAGCCTGCGATAGAGTTGCATTAACAATTGACGAAACTTCTTCCTGATTACTGGCCAATAAATTATCAAAGAGACAGGAGTAAGCAAGTAAGGAAGGATTTAACTTCTCTGGAGGTTACAGAATGAGGAGTCCTTGTTAGACCTCAGCCCTTGGAGATCATAGACTGGCTACAGACTTAGTATTCTTCATTGGCCACTGGCTTTTGCGGGGTAGGGGTGAGGGATCTCAGCTGTGTTGAAAAGTGTTACTAGGCTTGAGTTTCTTTATTTCTAAAGGAGTTGCTATGGGTGCTATGTATGTAAAAAGACATGCCCCCCCCACCCGCATCAAGAGCCATGGGGCTTGAGTTTGAATTCTAGCTCTGTCACTTACTAGCTCTATGACCATGGACTAGTCCCTTAACCTCTCTATGAGTCTCAATCTTCTCATCTGTAAAATGGAGACAATGATATGTGTCTTATCTTCCTGATGTAGAAATTGTGAAGAGAGGCATTGTGGTTTTGTGGAGAGAGCACTGGTCCTGGAGTCAGGACCAGTTTGGGGGGCAGTTAAATGTCAGAGGACTGACTGGGACATGAGTCAGGAAGACCTGAGTTCAAATTCAGCCTCAGATACTTAGTAGCTGTGTGACTACCAAGGAGGTCACTTATGTCTGCCTCAGTTTCCTTATCTATAAAATGGGGATCATAATAGCACCTACCTCCCAGGGTTGTTGGGAACATCAGATGATATTTGCAAAGTACAGTGCCTCAAATGTAATAGGCATTATATAAATGCTAGCTATTATTATTAAATCTAATTAGGAGACTGAGACTGAAATTGTGGCTTTCACTCTAAATTTGCAAGACTTTGGAAAAACCACTTCTAGTCTCCAGGTCCCAGTCTGAGAGGCAGCTGGATGTGGAGTCAGGACAACCTGACCTCTATTTCAAACATTTATTAGCTGTGTGACCCTGTGTCAATAACATAACCTTTCTGTGCCTCTTTTCTGTCTCATCTGTAAAATGAGAGTGTTGGACTGGTTGGCCTTTCAAGTCCTTCTTAGTTGTCCATGACCAAGTGAGATACTTGATATATAAAGTGTTATATAATTTCACAATATTTATGTTTTTGGAGACTGGGTCTCCCTAACTCACTTAGACTGGAAAGATAGTTTCTCATTGGTCTGATCCCAATGCTGACTGGCATGGAAGCTTTAACCTACTCTCTTTCTGACCTGGGCTGGTCACCCTCCTTACACAGCGTGGTCACCCTCTGATCCTCGTGGCTCACTGTACTAGTGCCAGACTTAGTGTAGACCCCCAATCAACTGTAGCACTACAGATGCCCAGAACTCCCAAACTGAAGGGGTCCATTAGCTTCAGCCTCTTCTAGGAGCAGGGATAACACGTGTGCCACCATATCTGGCCACCATTCTTATTAGTAGAGACCTATGGACAGAAGGTACTAACCAGACAATACAATTTTCTTTTGTTTCTCATCACCATCCTTGTCCAAGTTGTAGAATTAATTCTTCATTGCTTATCTATATTCATATGCTCTGTGCAGTTCATAGACTGTATACAGAGATGGAATCTAGAGCTGAAAGGGCCCTCAGAGACTCTCTGGTCCAGCCCCCTCATTTTCAGATGAGGAAACTGAGGCCCAGAGTGGCTTGCTTGAACTCATATGCATAGTAGGTCTCAGACAAGATCAGAAGAAAAGAAGCTCTGGATTCTGTAGTTGACTTGAGGAAACTAAAACATAAGATCTTTTTTTAGATCGTGGTAACTGAATTTGGCACAGTACCTTCTCATCCATAATGTAGCTAAAAATGCCACATGGTAAATTGTGGAGAGAGCACTGGTCTTTATTCCTGGGATCTGGAGGATGGGCCTGGGGGGACAGGATGAAGACAGATGCATGAGCAGTGGACAGCAATACAGCCAGAGCAACTGGTCATGGAAAGTCATTTCCATAGTTGCGCCCAGTGCAGGGTTCCAGAAATCTCAGGCACCAGAGAGATGGGTAGGGCCCCTGGCTCTTTTATAGGGGTGCCTGGATTTTTAGTGAATTGTACTAGAACTACAAGAACTGTCTTAATTTCTTCCTGCTGATGCTTGTTGGTGGGAGAAGGGACTCAACATGGTACTGTGGAGAGAAAATGATGGCACTGGATCCAGAGAACTTGGGGTTATATCCTGTTTGTTCTTTGCCACCTATGTGACTTTGGGCAAATCAATTAACCTCTCTTGTTAATTGACTTGGTTTCCTCCTCTGTAGAATAAGGGGGCTGGACTGGAGGGCCTCTTGGGTTCCTTCTGCCTCTAAGCCTATGATTCCATAATCTAGCACTTAGCACAGCATCCAGCACATAGCAAGGGCTTAGTAAATGCTTATTGACTATAACTTGAATTGAAGATATCTCTTTTACAGGCAGCACCAGTTGGAATGGGGACTTCCCTCTTGGAGCCATTGACATCACATCCCTTGATTTAGCTCAGGCTGAGGCTCTGTTCCAGTGGGGAGGAGAAGAGAGGGAGGAGATGAGTGCAAACAGGGAGGGTTGGGGGAAGGCCAGCTGCTGACCAAGGGGTTTTTTACCAGTCATCATTTGGTTCAGGAAATATCTTGGGCAGATGTGCCCCTGTCTAGAAGGATCCTTGGAGACCCGAGGGTGACCTGCATAGACTTTAAGTTGCCTCTCAGCAGAAGGGAGGGGAATAAGCATTTATATAATGCCTACTAAGTGCCAGGCACTGTGTACTGCCAAGCCCTTTGCAAATATTATTTCATTTGATCCTCCTTGCAACAACAACTTTTTGGGATGGGCTATTATTATTTTCATTTTATAATTGAGGAAACTGAGGCAGACAGAGGTTAAATGACTTGCCCTGGATCACACAACTAGTATAGTAAGTATCTTAGGCTGGATTTGAACTCAAGTCTTCCTGACTGCAGGCCTAGTGCTCTAACCACTGTACCACCTGGCTGCCTCAGATTCTATCAGTATCACAGTGATGATCTATCTTTTCAGTTTCTTTTTGTTTGCTTTCTTTGAAAGCTGAAAAATTTTTCCTGGCATCTAAAATTTGGGTTGGCTCTTGGGTGTTCAGCAAATGTGTTGAGAGTGGCATAATGTGAAAACTTAATAGAAAGATTGCCAGTGAATGAGCAGGATAGGACAAGGGCCAGCTCTCACTCAAGGTGGATCTTTGAGGAGGCCCTTTTGGGGTACCTGGGGATCCCTCAGCATCACCTACTTCTCTTACAAATATGGCAGCCATTCATCCCCATCCTCCTTGCTGGAGGGAGGTCAGAATCCCTGTGGCTGTTTCGCACCTTCGCTCCTCAAGCTTCTCACATCTGTTCTCCCCTCACTCAGAGCTGAAGATGTTGCCTCATTCTTTATTGAGAAAGTAGAGGCTATTCATTCAATATGAACTTCGTCTCCTGGGATTATCCCCCTTTGTCTTCCTGCTCCCTAGTCACAAACAAGGCTGGTCCTTCTCTTTGCCCAGACCATCCTCTTTACATCTACCTTTGAGTCCATCCCCTCCATTCTTCCCCTCCAGTTTCCCCCCACAATTATTGCTTCTCTCTAATCTTTAATCCTTGTATCAGCACTTTCCCTGAAAGAATGAATGAAAAGGCATTAAGTAAGTGCTCACTATATGCCGAGCCCTGGACTACACTGACCCCCTTCCCCATCAGAGAAGGATATTTTGATTTGTAAAGTTACAAGGACGGTGGATGGAGCCCAAGTGGCGATGGCACTGGCATTATGGATTTGTTCATGACTCCAGAATTATAACTGGGGGGCTATCCCCCTCCCCTGGGGGGGTTGGCCCAGTGCCAGAGTTCAGTTAAATCTCCTAGGGCTTACAAACAAGTCCAATTCTCACCCATCCTTAAACACCCATCCCTAGATCCCACCACCCCCTCAGCTATCTTTCTAGATCTCACTCTTTCCAGCCAAACTTCTTGAAAAAACTATCTTATATTCATTGACTACACTTCTTCTCTTCTCAACTTTTCAGCTCTTGCAATCTGGCTTCTACGCTCTCATTTTGATGAAATTGCTCTCTCCAGAGTTGCCAAAGATCTTTCTTTGCCACATCTGATGGCCCTTTCTCAATCCTCATCCTTCTCACTTCTCTGCGACACTTGACGTTCTTGATCACCTCCTGAAAGCTCTTCTTTGCCAGTTGATTTTGGGTTTTTTGGATGCTGCCCTCTCATGGTTCTGCTCCTTCCTGTCCGACTGCTTTCCAGTCTCTTTGCTCCATCATCGTCCATAGGAAGCCCCATAATCATGGCTACTGTGAGTATGTGTCAAGACTGTCCTGGGCCCTCTTTTCTTTTTATCCTTTCTCTCTTTGGGAGCCCATGAGATCCAGGGCTTTAATGATCAACTCTATGCTAATGACTATATTTCATGCCCCCTAGCCTCTCCCTTGAGGTCCATTCCCTCTTCACCAGCTGCTTACTAGATGTTTAAAAAGAGGATGTCCCCTAGGTGTCTCAAACCCAATATGTCAAAACTGAACACATTATCTTGACCTCTTTTATCTGGAGCTTCTCTATTTCTGCTGA